CACCCAGCCTACCTCCGGCCAGCCGGCCAGCTGCCGGCCCTAGCCAGGCAGATCTGGCCTTTGTGTGCAGGCTGAGGATGGGCGTGGCCGGCCACAGCACTAGCAGACACAGCAACATGAGAAAACCAGTGTGGCCGCCGCCACCCCGATCGACCATGGCCTAGCCAACCACACGCTCAACCAACCACACGCCCAACCCAGCCAGCCATGGCCGTAAGTCCAGGACCGTGCGCCCAGCCAGCAAAGGCCGTCGGCCCCCGACTGAGGCGCGATGCAGGGGGGCAGATCTAGAGGCGGGTGCGACAGATCTAGGCCCAAGACAGCCGGATCCGACCGCCCGGAGGCGAAGGGGAAGGAAGAGAGGAGGTAGAGAGGGCTCGTGGGGGGAGGAGGGAGAGGTTTGCTGCGGACGAGGCCCATTTTTGGGGTCCCCCACGGGCCGCCGCCGCACGCTGGAGGTTGGCGGTGTCGGCGGTTGAGGGGATGGTGCTGGGGAGGTGGGGCGGCGGTACTGGCGAGCGCCCCTAAGTCGCCCTAGGGGAGCTGGGGGGTGGACGACCGAGCCCGTGGTTCAAGACGTTAATTAGGATTTAGGGACTCGCCTGAACCGAACCCGTGCACATCGTGATGGCTTCGCCCACATGAGTATTGTGTGACTTGTTTTCCAACTTTGGCATCCTCACGATAGATTCACAAAATAAGCACGTATTTAGTAAGCTAACTCAATCTCTAACCTTTCTATAAGAGGTTAAAGTTTTATTGCACATGCTAGTATTTAAGGATTATACGGTATGTTATGAATAGGGTTGGATATCGAGCCAGCTCGGCTCGGCTCGGTCCAGCTCGAGCTGGCGCGTTAGGTTAACGAGCCAGCTCGAGCTAGCTCGTTAATATTACGGGCTAAAGGGGCAGCTCTGCTCGGCTCGTTAGCGAGCTCGAGCTAGCTTGTTTAACTCACGAGCTACTAAAAAAATAGGACACACATGTTTATAATATTCATGCCACAATAATTTTAGAAGGTGATGTCCATCATTATACAAGCATATAAGATTAATACATATCAGGTTCATCAAAAGTATCAACCATGCAACATAGCTTGTCCATCCATGATCCATGCAGTTCCAGCATACTTACTAGTTGCTTGCCACCACATACTTAGGTAAGTCCACAAATTGAATGTTAGCATCATCATCTTCTCCCTGGAAAACAATCTATAAATCAACATTTAATTACCACAACAATTATAAAATCAAAATTCATATGAAACAGCTAAAAATAAGGATTACATATCAATGGAATAGGTGTATACTTCTATGTCAGCATCATTATCTTCTAGATTCATGGTCGTGAACTGATAGGCCTCAGCTCGTTTGAGCTCATAAGCAGCTCGCAAGTTGGCTCGAGCTGGCTCATTAAAACAGCGAGCTAGATTTCCAGCTCAACTCGTGAAAAAATTAAAACGAGCCGAGCCGAGCCGAGCCGGACACAAGTTGAGCGAGTTGCCGAGTATTTTGTCCAGCCCACCCCTAGTTATGAACATTGGCCTTACGTAGTCCGTGTTTGGTAGGCGTCCCAACTATGCTAGGGGGCAATCAATCGTACTCTTTAGGCACGTCTACATTCATCCATTGCTTATTTAGTACCACATCACTTTTCAAACTCTGCATATGCAGATGCCTGCTCAGAATCCCTAATAAACATGCCCATCGGGGGGCAAAGCATGGCAAATTCATGGATAAAGTCATACTCATACCGAGGAGACCATATTAACTGGTTCAAATCACAGTGATGGAACATGTATGCCTATGCCCTATAGTAAAATGGTTGGCAACTGATGCCCGTAGTAATATTCAAACCATCAACTTTCCCATAGAAGGGGAATAGTCTACTATATATAAAGAAAATGAATCTGCATCCTAGGATTCAGACTGTCTTAGCAAATAATCTAGCCTCTGTATTTCATCAATTTTCTGTGCACAATATATATGATTGAGCCTCTGTTTTCCACTTGCAGTCTCTGTGTCTTCCACTTGTAGTCAGTGAAGACTTGCCTGCACCGGGTCATTCATCCTTGTCAACATAACCTGCACAGGAACATTATGATGTCAGATATCATACATATGTTGACAGGTCCAAGTAAATGCATCCTTCTCAAGTGAAATAGTTTCTAGAAAAGGATTGCAATTTTAACAATGTTCAGATGCTTAGTGCTGATTCAACATGGACTCATGAACTTTAGTAATCAAATCAAGTTGTCAAATATATGAAGTATACATCTCCCAATATATCAAGACATTCGCATTTAATTTGATAATTTCACAGCTAAAAGATGGGTCATGTGACAACAAAAGCATTTACATGCTGTAAAATCAAGAAATGGTCAAACACAGTGAGGTATATGTATCATGCAATGCATCCAGTCAACGACTGTACTAACAAAAGAAACTAAGAGAGCAACATACACTAGTAATCTGATAGATTTTGAAAAATCAAAGAATTGTAAACAGAACAATGCACACTTGTTAAGATTGCTAACGGGAAGATAGCTACAATAGTTCAACATTAACATATTTATGCTTATGTTGCAGTCCAAATGAAAAATCCACGCTAGTTCATTTTTGTTGCAAGACAAACATAACATATGGATGAGAGAGGAAATTGTTATACAATAGAACACATAGTGAGCATGCCGTGGACCGACTAAGGCCCTGTTTGGTTGGGCTTTTGGCTTTGGCTTTTGGCCCCAAAAGCCAAAAGCCCAACCAAAGGAGCTGCTTTTGGAGGGTGCTTTTTCAGAAGCAGCTGCTTTTCCGTAGTTCATTTTTGAAAGCTGGGTTGACCCTGCTTTTGGCTTTTGGCTTTCTGCTTTTCGAAATTGGTGGAATAAAAAGCTCTTCCATAGTTGTTTCAAGAGAGATAAAGATAAAAGGTATATTTTATACTTGTTTAACCAAACAGCTTTCAGCTTTTCTACAACTCACAGCCCACAGCAGCTTTTCCACAGCTCACAACCCACAGCAGCTTTTTCCCACAGCCACAGCTCAACCAAACAGGGCCTAAGGCCCCGTTTAGATCCAAAAATTTTTGGATTTTGTCTCACTGTAGCATTTCGTTTGTATTTGGTAATTAGTGTCTAATTATGAACTAATTAGGTTCAAAAGTTTCATCTCGCGATTTCTCACCCAACTATGCAATTAGTTTTTTTTTCGTCTACATTTAGTACTCCATGCATGTGCCGCAAGATTCGATGTGATGGGTACTGCGCAAAAATTTTTGGAATCTAAACAGGCCCTAAATCTCAGGTCTGAAAAATGTACAACTTTTTGAGTCAAGTAGAAAATTTACAATATATACTGACACAATTGATGGCCTGTGGGGCAAGAGAAAGCATAATCTTTTCAGCAAGTGACGGCGTAGTAACTTCTGCAATAATTGTCTTAGGACTATACTAGCTCTATCTCAATGCCAGTCCCTCCCATTGATCCATTTATCGCAAAGCCTGTTTATCATAAATGACACAAAATACAAAAAGTAAGAAATGAGGAAAAAACATACTAGAACAAATAAAAATTCTATCCACTGAAATACTTCCACAATGCAACTACTAAAGCATGAAAACACAGACACATTATAGCCAGCAATAGCAAATGCATGTGACTTCATCATTAATAAAAATGTCACCATAATGCAACACTGATAGAAAAATACAACGCAGGCAGCAGCAACATCAAAATGCTCCCAGATTCTAACAACGAGAGGATAATCTACACAAGGAAGATCTTTAACAAGCAAGTCAATAATCCACAGCATCGAAAAATGTGGATTCATTGTTTTGTATAAAAGGTAGATTGAGCATAAGACTTGAAAAGCATACCATTTAATAGCTAAACCAAACGCACCTGAAGCATCTTCCAGTTTCCAGTGGTGCCTAAACAAATTGGAAACAGAAGCAGAGAAATCTGTGCCAAACCATATGGGCCACAGACAACTATAAATGGAATCTAAAATCCAGATATTTTCTGTTTGAAATCTTAATATTTCAGATACTTATAAGCTGCATCAATTAACCAATATGACATTAAAGATGTTGAATCAAAGATAGGCCAGGAAGGGGAGAGCATGTACCTTGAGCCACTACGTGAAAAACGGTTTGTAGCAACCGGACAAATTTTTTGTAGGGGTGACTGATGATGGAGCCGCCCCTACAGTGGCGTGCTCGGGAGCCACTAGACCAGCCGCCCCTACAAATGGCACAGTAGGGGCCGCTAATAATACGAGCAGCCCCTACAAATGGGGTCGATTTGTAGGGGTGGCTCACTCACCAACCGCCCCCGGTGTTACGATTTGTAGGGGCGGCTCAATCACCAGCCACCCCTACAAATCACTTGTACAACAAATATCTCCCACCTCTCCCCATACTCATCAGAAAAAAAAAACTCTCCCATCTGCTCCCTCTCTCGCTCTCTCACGAGGCGCGTCGGCCGAGCCTCCCGCGACCCCTGCCCCCACCGGTCCTACTCCCGCCGCCTCCGCCCCCGTCGTCCCTTCTTCTCCCTCTCTCCCGATGTGGTGGCGTGCTGGTCCCCTCGTCCGTCTCCGCTTTCACCTTCCCCTCTCTCTCGCGATGGCATGGCACACCGGCCGGCGAATGGCGCGGGCAGGACGGCGGCGCACGGGCGCCAGCGAGCCCCCGCAGGTGGCTGTTGCCGCGGCTGCCACCCAGTCCCCAGTCCCCCCGGTCCCGTTCCCCTTTGATCCTTTCCCCTCTCTCTCTCCCTCTCATCCCCGCCGTCGCCACCACCGCCGTCTCTTCCTCCCCTACACCTACGCCGCCGCCGCACCTCCCCTCTTCCTCCTCCGCCGCCACCATCCCTCCCCATCCCCCAACCACGATGGCTCCACGGAGGCTGAGATCTAGGCTTGGTGGCTCGTGAGTCCAGCGGTCGCCAGATCCGGTAAGGGGGCTCCCACGAAGCTCGTTTGATTCAGAGAGGCCCTCCATGGCCTCACCTTCCCTGGCGTCACCAAGGAGGCTAGGCGACCTCGGTGGCACGCCCCCAGATCCGGCGAGGCCGCCTCCTACAAAGCTACTGCGTATTGGATCTAGAGATGCCACTCCTCATCTCCTCTTCGACAACCATCGCTGCCGCTGGCGTCTGGCGTGGTACCCGCGTCTCCGGCCCAAATCAAACTGCCTACGGTGCCTCCTCCCTCAACCTATTCCCCTCCGGCGGCAGGAGCCCCTTGTTGAGGATGCCGCACCACCACATCTGACTGCAGTTCACCATAGCTACCGCATTCATCAACTCCGTTCCCGTACGTTGGCCTATTCCTAGCTCTTCTGTCTACAAGGAGCTACCCTGCCAAGGTGAGACCCCTCCCAGCTCGTGTCTCTGTTAGTGACCACTGTTATGGACTGAATCGGATCTCTGATTTGGTAATCGAAAGTTAAAACCCTAAAATTTATTATTGTGTCGATTGCCATACAAATTGAGCCCTGATATTTGTTATATATCGTGTGAAAGGTCTATATTTTGATAGTAATGCTTGTTCATGTGAGATTGAATGGTCTAGTTTTTTTGGCAAAGTAGTCCTACAGTCCGAGTCCTGGAATTGACCCAATTTTATATATGGTTAAGTATTCATACATAAACTTCGATTCTTGTGTAGTTACAGCCTGCAGCTACTATTTTTCCAAAGCACTTGGATTTCAACAAGCTAATTTACAAAATAGACCCCACTTGATAATTCTAACATGGCAGTCTGAAATATTTTTCTTCAGTAAGAACTGCATTTAGTTAATGCGACATGGAAGCATTGTCCATATTCTGAATGGATGTTGCACTAAGTTTCCTTGTGCATGCTAATTTATGATCTAGTGTTGTATCCTGATGACTGAAGGCAGTGAGACGAATCTTACTTGACCAATGAGTCTATGTCTAAGGAATATTTTTAATGAGTTCCTGCTATTTGTCAGTAATATATTCCATTGAAGGGATTGCTCAAATCTGTTAGACACCTGATTCGATTGAAGTTTCTGAGCATGCATGAATACACCCTTGAAAGGATCAAGATGCCCAAGAGGGGGGGTGAATTGGGCTAATTCTAGATTTTCTTGCAATAATCAAATCCTACGGATAGCCCAATTAACCCCTTGTGCCTAGAAAAAGTGTTTCTATCAAATCAACGCACAAAAGACTTGCAACCTATGTTCCAAACTTACTCTAGCATAGCAATTCTATGAATGTAAAGACGAGTATTGAATTGCTCAAAGTAAATACTTAAAGTAAATGCTCAAAGTAAATGGAGAGAGGAACGCGGCGATGTTTTGCCGAGGTATCGGAGAGTCGCCACTCTCCACTAGTCCTCGTTGGAGCACCCGCGCAAGGGTGTAGCTCCCCCTTGATCCGCGCAAGGATCAAGTGCTCTCTACGGGTTGATTCTTCGACACTCCGTCGCGGCGAATCACCCAAAACCGCTCACAACTTGAGTTGGGTCACCCACAAGCTCCGCCGGGTGATCACCAAGCTCCCAATCACCACCAAGCCGTCTAGGTGATGGCGATCACCAAGAGTAACAAGCACGAACTCTCACTTGACCACGCGAAGCCTAATGAGAAGATGGATGCACACTTGTCTACTCTTGATTCACTAATGAGGTTTCACTCTTGGATTCTCAAATCACAAACACCTCACTAGGACCTTGCTCTTCTTGGCACTCACAAACGTGTTTCTCAGCTGTTGGAATGAGCAAAAGTAACTCCACACACGAGTGGAGCTTCTATTTATAAGGCAGCCTGAAAAACGAACCGTTATGAGCTTCTGCGGGATGACCGGACGCTCCGATCGTATTGACCGGACGCTCCGGTCAGTTCAATCCGCGCAACAGTTTCCAAGTGATGACCGGACGCTGTCAGGGTCCGGTCAGCACTGACCGGACGCGTCCGGTCGCTCTTGGATGCTTACTGTAATCGACCGGACGCTGGATACTCAGGGTCCGGTCACCACTGACCGGACGCGTCCGGTCACACTTTCTCAAGTCAGGACCCTTACTGGAGTTGACCGGACGCTGGCCCTCAGCGTCCGGTCACATTGACCTTCCAGCGTCCGGTCACACCAGACTTGTTCTCCTCGGTCAAATGAACTGACCGGACCCTGCGGCCAGCGTCCGGTCGCACCGGAGCCAGCGTCCGGTCAGTATTTGACCCTCCATTCACTTCCAACTCTCGATCATATGAGAATGAAGTTTGCTCCAAAGGATCTTAGGCATTCATAGGAGCTACCTAGAGCTAGTTTTAACAAGTGTGCACCACACCTAACTCACTAGACTCAACTAGGTCAAGCTACCCGTTCATACCCCCTTAATAGTACGGCCAAAGAAAAAACAAAGTCCTAAACTATTCTAAATATCTCTCCAACTCCAATCGACACTTAGAACTAGTCATCCTTAACCTTGTCGTTAATCCTTTGAAAACCGAAACGATTTCCATCGTAGGGGCATGACAACCTCGATTGCCCAATCGATCTCCATTACCATGACCTAACTTTATATGCCTCTGCAAAACACCCGTTAGTCATAGTAATCTTGTATTGACATTAATCATCGAAATCCAACTAGGGGCCTAGATGCTTTCAACCCTGAATACGAATCTTACTTGCAGGAAGAGATGGCTTTATAGGTAGTTATGTAGTGATGAAATCCAAGCCTGTGTCTCCACCAACAGGTTTATAGGTAGATTTTGCTTCAGTTTTGATATGTATCTCTGAAGAATGCACCCTTTGTTATCTTCCAGTATTTTCTTGCTTGGTTTGAATTAATGTCTAAATTATTTGTGTGCTTTATGATAGTCTTCCATTTATGAATAGTTAAATATACTGCTTTTCCAGATATTTTGTTAGAGTATACAATTTCTTATCTTGACTAGCAGCACCTAATTTGAATCTTACTTGCAGGAGCTCTGCAGTTAAGGAAGTGTATAGTCACCATGGTTCATTTCAAGAATAGGTACATGGTGGTGGAGGTCTTTATAGATGCAGCTAGAGGTGAAAAGGACCCTATAATCCTCACCCAATTTAATATAACACAAGTTATAAGAGACAGTATTCAGCTCAACTTTGGGGAGTGTGGCCTAGCTGGATCTCTTGGATCATTGCAAGGTACTACTAGCAATTACTTTTGAAACCTTTTAAATCTTATATCAGTGTTTGCTGCACTGTGTTTATTACTGGCTTCTTAATATAAAAGTACTTATAAGCTCTGCAAATTTTCAGTTAAGTATGTTAATCCTGTAACAAAGCTCTGCATTGTCCGTGTGTCACGTGAAGACCACCAGAAAGTTTGGGCTGCTATGACAATGGTGAGGTGCATTGGGAAGATCCCTGTTTCATTCAACTTGCTCGACATGAGTGGTAAGTGGCTCAGACTCTGGCTGACGATACAAATCAATCTTGTTGCGTTGCATTTTTACTTGGTTGTTTTCCAACAGACTGGCACTTGATTTGGTGCACTCTGGACCTTCCAAAAATAACCTATTTCTGTAGTTGATTTTGTCTTCTAACTTAGAGTAAGAATTTGACGGTAGAATTTTGATTTAGAAAGGATTCAATATGCCCATCTCACATCACTGTCAAGGTTCACAAGTTTGAATAATCTTCATGTGGGCTGTTTTGCTGTTTCGTTTGAGTAATTTCTAAACTTTCGGTGCAACATTTTTGCCATTTCTGATGAAGGAACATAGGAGCTACAGCTATAGAAAGCTATAGGTTTGTCAAATTCATTCTGTTTTCCTCATATATTGTTGACCTTTTTGGAACCACATTTCTCCTTCAGAACTCAAAATATAATGTACTCTCTCAGTTCTGTCAGTTATTTTCCTGCTTAAAGTATTGCTATGTGTCAATTAGGATGGCCAGCTTCATAGTAAAACTATGTATCTATGCATCTAGATATATGCTATGTCTGAAATAGAGGGAGTAGCACTATTGCCATGTTTATAATACTAATTTGTAGTCCTTAAGAAAAGGGTCACTCTTCTTTTTATTGCCCAACTGCCACAGTTTAGCTCATCAATCATCATTGCATTCACTTTTTCCAGGAAGCATCAGGGCTTGCAAGAAAGCTGTGATGGAGTGTGATGAAGCGAAATTTGAACAATACAAGGTGGCTGCTGGCGATCGTATCACGGCAGAGATCATCCAGTCCGTAGAGAGCTGCTTTGAGAAGATTAGAGGACTAGAGAGCTAGCAAAAAGAAAAATATATCTCCCCTCCTATTTTTTTCGTTCTCTCGGTCCCTAAATGAAATGAAATGATGAAATGCACATTCAGCCATCTAGCACATTCAGTCATCTCTGTCCCTAAATGAAACGGAATTTGATTTTTTTTGCGGAAAAATACACTTTAGGGGCGGTTGGTATTGTAGCCGCCCCTACGAATCGATTTGTATGAGCGGCTGGTACTGTAGCCGCCCCCACAAATCGATTTGTAGGGGCGGTCCGGGAACCACCCCTACAAATCAGCGATTTGTAGCCACCCCTTCATAGGGGCGGTTGGTACTATAGCCGCCCCTACGAATCGATTTGTAGGGGCGGCTGGTACTGTAGCCGTCTCCAAAAATTGATTTGTAGGGGCGGTCTGGGAACCGCCCCTACAAATCAGGGGTTTGTAGCCACCCCCGCCCCTACAAAGGGTTACGAGCCGCCCCTAGAAAACGATTCTATAGCAGTGAGCAACGAGAGCAGCAACACCTGTAACTGTAAGCAGCGAGTAAACAGAGACTTGAAGAATGGGTTCCAGAACGCACCTGGGGCCAGCAAGAAAACACACACCGCACACACGGACCAAACCTAACACATGTCCATCTCCGGAGGGGAAGGTGGTAGCCGCTCTGCTGCAGCTGCCGCTACCGGCGCCAGGTGCTGCGGCGGCGGATCGAACGTCACGTGGTACACCCCATCCACACGCATGTAGTAGCGGATGAACACGCACGTGATGAGCCACGTGGAGGCGTAGCAGAGGGACTGCACGACGCGGCTGACGAGTGTCCAGAAGCGGGCCTGCTCACCGTCTGTGTAGAAGGAGAGGAGATTGACGATGATGTTCAGACAGTGGATCCCAACGTAAGCTTAGAGGAGGTTCTCTCCGGTTCTAGATTAGATTGAATAAAGTTTGTCTCATCCGTTCCATGGGCTACTAAACTAGCATCGTCTTTGTTGATTGTTTACCGGATCTTATTTGTCACATATATCTTTACTGTGGGTGTGGTTCTAGTCATCCACTCTGGCATTTTCCTGATTAATTTTGTTATTGCAAGGGCCATGCAATTGAAGAGATAATCGAGTTCTCCATTTGCATCTTTGTGTCATCACCTCGTTGGATTTCGATCTCGCGATGGCCGGACATGTATCTATGCTTTCGGATCTAGCATTGCTGGTATTGATCGACGGTTGATGTTCTTTCAATATGTCAGATACGTCGAGTGATGTACATTACATGGATTAAGTAACAACTATATCTTTTTATTTCAGATGAGTAAGATGCAATGGAACAATTTTACGGCTAGCTATAAGATAACTAAACGAACCTAAGGACAATTCAACTAGCTTTAAACTTGTTCATCTTCCGAAATTTTGCAAAATTCCCATTGTTTTTTCTTTCTCACTGGCATGGTTATGGCCGAGCGTCCAAGCTGCATGGAGTAGGATCGGAGGTACATCACTTGTTGATCAACAAGATGATGCTTTCGTTACAGATTTGATCAGGGTTCGGAAAGCAAACTAATAGTTTTTTTTAGTGAACGGGCATGAGACTGGGCACCATTTTTATTAATATAGAAGAAAAGTACAAGCAGGAAGCCCTATAGGAGGTTACCTACAGGGTAACAGGGACAAAAGTTGAGAAAAAAAAAACAAACATAATGTACATGAAAAGCAAACTAGTGTGTCGTTGCATATAACACTTACTAGTTTAGCGCGCACAAAGTGCTTCCAAACCACCACTTCACCAACCATGGATTTCACCTATTCAATATTTTTCTTTGATTTGCATACCGAAGTCAATTGATCAGAACATAATACAAACCCAAAACATCATTCTAAACTGAAAACAGGGGTAAGCAAAGGTACTCCCTCCGTTCCAAATTATAAGATGTTTTTTCTTTTCTAGATGCGTAGTTTTTTCTACACATTTAGATATACACGATGTTTAGATACATAGTTTGGACTTTGCTCGTAGCTTAACTAGAGCAAGTTCTTTCCTGAGAGTGCCTTTGCGCAAAGCCACTTAATGTTGCACACATTTCTAAAAATCTTGTCATTTCTGGCTAACCAAATTGCCCAGCACATAGCAACAATAATATCCCTAAAAAAGGCCACTGGATCTAGTTCTTGAAAAAAGAAAGGGTGGCCAGTAATTCACCTTGAATAAGATGTGCCAAGCCCAAAAAATTCCAACAGGACATGGCGAAAGGACAATGTAGGAAAAGATGGAGCAAAGTTCCTTCAGTGTCCAAGTGATAGCACACAATTGTACTCCTCAAGTACCATATTTTTCCTCTTCAGAAGCTCACGAGTAGCTCTCACATTGTCGCGGTAGACAACGGTGGTGCTATTAAGAGGATGATGGAGATCCTGCAGCAACTATGAAGAGGATGATGGAGATCCTGCAGCAACTGACAAACCAACATCACTATGCAACAGCATGGGCTACTGCATGGTATTCGGCCTCAGCACTGAAACAAGATACAGTAGTCTGCCGCTTAAAAGACAAGGAGACAAGGTTATCACCGAGGTAAATGCAGTAGCTAGATGTGGAGCGCCAGGAATCCGGGCAGCTAGCCTAGTTCGCATCTAAATATGTTGCGAGAGACGTCAGTGGCGAGTGAGCTAAAATGTGAAGACTCATGTCCAGAGTACCTTTAACATAACGCATTCTGCATTTGATGAAATGGAGGTGTGGTTCCCTGGGATCATTCATGTAGAGACAGACCTACTGAACAACATATGAAAGGTCTGGTCTAGTGAGAGTGAGATACTGAAGGGCCCAGCAAGACTGCGATACTTTGTAGATCAGCAACTAGCAAACCTTCCGCAGCGGAGAGTTTGGCCTTGGTGTCAATAGGTGTAGTAGTAGGGTGGCATTTAAACATACCAGCATGCTCTAGGAGATCAACAGCATACTGGCACTAGGAGTGAGTAAACCCATCCGCAAATGCCAAGAAAAAATGAAGATCACCGAGATCAGTCATGGAGAACTCCGGACGAAGACGACCAATAATATCCTGAAGGAGTTTTGTGGAAGCTGTCAAAATGATGTCATCAACATAGAGCAATATGTAGGCAAGTGTAGAGCCATGCCAAAGGACAAAAAGTGAAGAATCTGACGGTGAGGCAACAAAACCCAAGGTACGGATATAAGTGGCGAACCACTAGTACTAGGCATGAGGGGCTTGTTTCATACCATAGAGGGACATCTATAGGTGATGGCACACATGGTCGGGATGAACGGGCGTCGATGAATTCAGACAGTTGCTGACAATATACTGTCTCGGAGATATTCCCATGAACGAAGGCATTTTTGACATCCAGCTGATGAATGGGCCAAGACTGAGAAAACGCGATGCTCCTAACAGTGAGGATGGTGGCGGTCTTGACAACTGGACTAAAGGTCTCATCAAAATCAACATCAGGACGCTGTGAATAACCACGGACAATCCAACGAGCCTTGTAGTGAGCCAATGAACCATCTGAATGAAAATTGTGTTTAAAAATCCATTTACCCACTGGTTTAGCCAATGAGCCAATGAACGTTAATACTATTTTATTTAAACCTAGTCAAAGTTGTAGATTTCATCGAGCACTACTGTTGGTGTACGCTTTCCGAGTTGCGCCTTTCACCTTGTTTTCCACTTGTATTCAAATGTATGTCCTGCAAAACATGATTCTTCCAGTACAAGTGAAACAATGTCAATAATAACTGCATATGTGTCATAAGTTTGTTTATTTCACCTATTTTGGATCTTAATTGGCGGTCGGATGTTATCGTTAGGGACCGCCAACAAATCCCCCAAGCTTAACCTTTGCTCATCCCGAGCAAATAGCTAAGTCTTTGGTTGTTGATCAGGAGTTACTACTATGCCGAATATATTTCATAAGTGTCATGCCTATAACAAAGTATTCTTCTGCAATTTAAATAAGTCGCCATTTTTTATCAACGCTACCAAGGAACACCAACACGATAGTTCTTAACGATTACAGAAACAATATCCGCAAGCGTACGGATCTATCGTTGTAGTATTTCACCCGAAAGTATTCAGGGTATCGTTATTTATATTTTCTCAAAGGAAGGCATGTTGTAAAGAGTCTAGCATGGATATGAACAATATTACATACTTGCATAGCGAACCAAAGTTTATAACAGGGGTAAAAATGGTATTTTCAGGATAGTGGACACACACTTGGGCCAACCTCAAGGATAAAAGAGAAATAAAGAATAAAAGAATGTTCCTAAGTGGAGCAGGCTTGTTCTAATATAGCCATGCAAAGAACAGTTGATAATCATATAAATTACATGGTTAGAACTAGACCTAAGTATAAGCTGAACGGGGAGATCTCCGAGCACTAGTCTGCCAGTAAGCGCGAGAGACTTTAAGACTCCTACGCAATACCCAAATGTGGGTATTACAAGGAACAGACAGAGCTGTCACCACCTGCCGCCTACCCCTCAACCGTGGAGTACCGTCATATCCGAAGGTTTCCGTGCACCCGGGCAACATGTAACAGAACCGACCAAATCATAAGAACGTAAGTACAAAAACAATCACCGAAGCGATCAAACTCCTGTACTTAAGCTCCCATAATCCCGGTAGTCCGGAAATCACGAAGGATTTCAACCAACTCTTGACATACAAACCAAGATCGTAATGATTCAACACAACACATCATCCGTTACAACATTTCACAAGTAGCATTCAGATTACATCCATCAGAGTTCAAATAAATATTACAAACCAAGTTTAAATGCGCGGAAGCAACATAGTTTAGTACATAACTTCATAGTTTCAAATACATTGCCAGATCAGAGTCATGTCCCACAAAAGCATTATCAGGTATGAGAACTAGTAGAGACCGCGCCCAACGGTCTAGTCTTCATCCCCAGCAGGGAGAAGGCAGTACTTGCAGTAACCAAAGAAGAACTGGTCATCTGCAACAGGTGGGAGATAAACCCTGAGTACGAGAAGGTACTCAG